CCTAACCCTTAACCTAACCCTAGACCTTACCCTAACCCTTAACCTAACCCTAAACCTAACCCTTACCTTAACGTGAATCGGCTTGCTTTCAAAGCGCTATTTAAAGCGCCCTTTTTTCTCCGTGGTCGCTGTTGTCGCCCTGCTGATGACATCAGCGACGCGGTTTAATCGGGTGCGCTTTAGTGGAGCGCGGTTTTGTCGTGCCACGGTAGCATCATCCACGGCCCCTGACCAGGCTATGTCCCGCCCTTGAAACTCATTGCTTTGGCATGTCACATGCTTGGATTCCCCAAGCAGCGCACAGGAGAATGACCGTTGACTTACCTGAACTGTCCTTCTATGTGCACTGTGAGGGGAATCCAATCCCACCCTCGGCTTCAGCTGGTCCAGGCACTGACACTGTTTCAATCTCACACGCATGCATTGTGTTTACTTCATGGTTGTTGCTTTTTCAAGAGGCAACTGGACTTTTTTGTTTTTCTTTAAAGATGTTTCACTTTCCACTTCAGTTCTGAGCTGAAGAAGCTTCTTGGATGAGAAGCGAAATGTCTTCAAAGAAAAACTAGGAAGTCCAGTTTCTTCTTGAAAAAAAGTACCTTTGGGACTATAGTTGAGGCAGCAGTTTGCCACCATTGATTAGTGCCTGCTTCTTCTGGTAGCAAAGCTGTTATTTGGTTGTATAAGCATTCTTCTTTACTGTATTAGCCAGCAAACTGAGTTTTCTCTTCAAATTATTCTTACAGCATCAGGATAGTTATGAAAGTATATAAAGCCCATCCCAACCTGCAGATTTCCATGTATCACCGTTGGAAGCATTCCCCACGAGTGACTAGTTTCTTACAGTAAGTAAGATTTTCTTTATGCTACCTTTTGGAATGGTAGTTTACATATCTGAATTCAGTCTGGGTGTTGATGCTGAAATCTACTCCTGCTTAAGTGCTTGAGTTGTTGCATTCTACATCTGCTGCAACTGCTCAATTAAAAGTACATTCTTTAAGAGAAGTGTGCTACATTTGTTTGCCATGATTTCTTGCCACTAATTTATTGTCCAAGCATCAATTTTCAAAGTATTAATGATTAAAAGCTTATTGAGTATCATCCAGATTGACATTCTCAGATGTTCATGCCATTCGAGACAGAACAGCTACATACACTAATATGACATACACTAACCCAATTGCCTTTTCTACCAGCAGGAACTTATGAGATACCAGTGGTGGATTAAGGCTCACAGTGTCCTAAGCACTGACAAATCTTGATGCCCCCCTCCTTTGTACATACTTTACAAATCTTCATTGGTTTTTTTTTTCTTTCTCAACTTTGTGGTGCCCTCTTGGGCCTGGTGCCCTAAGCACGTGCTTAGTCTTAATGGTTAATACACCATTGGAGATAATTCTCAAACTATATGTACCGTATCTTTCGGAGTATAAGACACACCTTTTTCCCTCAAAAAAGAGGCTGAAAAACTGGGTGCCTGTTATACACTGAATACGTGCACTTGCCTCCCGAAACCCTGCCTCCTTCATAAAAATGCCCATGCATAGCCTTTAGGAGCCTTGCAGAGTGCTCCTGGGGGCTGGGGAGTGCAGAAATGAGCAAAAAATGGGTCGTTTTTTGCTCAATTTTACCCCCAGCCCCCAGGAGCATACTATAAGCCTCCTAAAGGCTATGCATGCCCTTTTTTGATTAAAAAAAACTGTCCTGTTTTCATGAAAAATGGGCCATTTTTTGTTTATTTTGGGGGGCCTCACCTCCTAGGAGTACTCTACAAGCCTCCTAAAGGCTATGCATGCCCTTTTTTGATTAAAAAAAACTGTCCTGTTTTTGTGAAAAACGGGCCATTTTTGGGAGATCTGCAGAGTGCAAAACCCTTTTTTTTAATTTGCCTCTTCAAAATCTTGGTGCGTCTTATACTCTGGTGCATCTTATACTCCAAAAAATACAGTAATTGCTAAGTTTTCATCCTGGATAGCATCATTTAGGGACTTAATTATTCAAGATGTTGAATTGATGTATCAAAAACACTTCCATCTCCAAATTGCACTGTTTGTAGAATACAGTAGTGATCTTACCAGTATAAAACCTGTCAGTCCTTCACCTCAATAATATACAGTGCTTAAAGCCACAGGAAGATAGAACAGAACCAGGGTTGAAAGAGTACAGGATTTATTTTAAGCTTTATTGATATTGCACTCTTAAGCACGGTTCCTCCCACTTTCTAATGGTCATTGAATATACAGACATATTTGCTCTGGACTGAGAAATGCAGTTCCCATCATCTCTAGCCTCCATAGCTGCATAGGCTGAGGCTGAAGTGAGCAGTATTCCAACATACTTGGAAGAATATGCTCAGGGAAGGCAGATGTAGGTCATGAAATCTTTTTATATATATTGTATATTCATTTTGTTGTGCTACTTCAAGTAGTGAAGACAAAGACTAAGCAAGTAGAGAATCTAAGAAGGATTCTCAGGATTAATAGGATTGTGTTAACAGGGAACTGTATTTCGTTATGAGTGGGTTTATTTAAAATTGCTTATTGAATATGGCTTAATATATTTGAAAGATTTTTATGCTATAAGCTGCTTATGTGGTTTTACACAATAAGTAAAGCATGGAGTATCTAAACCATTGTGTAATGCTCTTGTAATTAAATTGCCTATTTTTAATGATGAATTCAGTTGAAACTGAATCTAAGGCAGGTAGAACTAAACTTGATATTAAACTCTTGATGTTGTTTGGCTTTGGAACAATTGCATTTATGTTTATTTGTTTGTGCCCTTTCAGAATATGTGGCATTGTGGCTTCTTGGTCTCTGCTGGCTTTCTTGCTTGGAGGCTCTTATAGTTGTCGTGGGCAACAGCTCATCCACTAGAAATGCTTGGTTTCTTTTCCCCTCAATGTAAGCTGCACAATTATAGATTAAAACACATTGCAATGATCCCCAAGTTGTGTGGTTCCTGATATGGGAAGAAGAATAGGGTGAGAAATTGGTTCAATAGAATGCAGCGAAAAGCAAACTTCTTTATTATGGAAAAATATATAGAAGAATGGAAAGGAGTAATGGAACAAATATTGCGGATTTTCTTAAAGCGTAAGTATTGCACCAAATATTTTGTGCTTGCTGCTTGTACATAATCTGCCCAGCACTGAGCAACTTTCCTTCCTTTATTTTCAAGAGAGATATGAAGCTTCCAGGGCAGTTCATTTGGAGAACCCAAAATAATTTGTGTACAAACTACACAAATTGTGGAAGAAGTGGAATAACTATTTGATATTAAAAAGCTAATTGCAGTAGTAGGCAGTTCTTGCAGAGACTTGTAACATAGAAGACACTCCAGTCACCATGTAGCTCACTTTTCATAGTAAGGTCCCTAAAAGTTTAGCTCTGTATACAGGAAAGTTGACATAGGAGAAAAAATAGCATTATGTATCGGGCTATTAGGCTGTTAAATGCCCTTGAACAGTGATGGTGAACCTTTTCACCACTTCGGGCATTAGGTTCACCATCACAGCCCTAGAAAACCCAAAATATATCCAAATGTAGAACAGCTATCATCACTGCCCTATTTTTTTTACTTCCTAATTTTTTCTCCACGAACAAACAGATTCACTAACAGCCTATTTCAACCCTTCTTTCGGTAATTCAGAGAATGTGAAGAGATAACTCTTGAAAAAGCTTATGCTGCTTGAATGTATTTTCTTTCTATTTATAGTTGAGAAAAAGTAAAAATTCCTCTAATGATTTTAAGCTCCAATATATGGCCCTGAACTCAGTTTCCAATGTTCAGGACAAGCAATCTTAAACCACCAGTCATCATTGCTGCTGCAAAAAGCTTTAAATAAGTTTACATCTGTTTTTGGTAAATAGATATCTCCTAGTTTCATCCAATATAAACACTGTGATATTTATGAGAGCTGTTGATTTTTCAAAACAAAGCAATTTGATATTGATACTCATAGCACATTCTCAACTCATTATTTATTCCAATCTTCATTTATTTTTCTTCAGAAATGGTCTTTCTCTAACCGCAAGGAGGGATAAAAACCTTCATAGAAAACTGGAAAAAGATTGTTTGATTGGCATTGAATGCCCCTTTTCAAGTTTCTGTCAGTGATCTCTCCACACTAAGAATAATCTTCAGAACAGCACTATCATTGTATCCCAAACTAAAGAACAGTCTCTAATTTGCCACGAGTGAAAGGATGAAAATAGAGCATTTCTAGGTGTTGATTATGTAGGTTGAATGGATTTTTCAAACCCCAAAGTTAACATGGCACCGGTTATTTTTTTGCAGAAGGATGTGCCCAATCCAGTTGCTTTTTCAAAAATTAGACCAGCCACCTTGCTTAAACAGAAATTCAAGATTATAATTTAATTTAGAAATATCATATTTAGTTTTTTTCCCTTCTACGTATATGGTAAAACCTTAAGTCCCTCCTTTGAATTTTTTTAAAAAATTGACTATGAATATAATTGTAACAGTGCATTTCAACTATACAAAAAGAAACATGGAAAAAAGGCAATAATTCAGAATATAAAGTGTGTGTAATTTAACAGTCTTATTAACTCAAGACTGGCTATAAGGGCAGTACGTCAAATTGGATTACAATGCACTTATGTAATCAGTTCTCTTTGATAGCCACAGAAGCTGCCTTCTTCCCATTGTTCCTTCTGGTCTCTGAGCTGAATGGGATTCAGGACCCAAGGAATTGCAAGTCAGGTTTCAATCGTTTTTAGTTCCTATGTAGAAAAAAATGGAAAATTTAATTTAAGTTGCACCTAAGTGGAAAGATTAAAAATGGATAAAGGTTATAATTTGTGTAGTTCACATGCAACCCCAGACACATATTACTCACATTTACTGGGAACTGCTCGTTCATGGAATTTTCAATGAGGACATGGTGACCTAGGCATCTGTCAATGAGGAGTGATGGCATTCAGCAGAGATTGGCAGTCAGAGGATAAATCTTGGCCACCAAATTCACTCTGGAGAAAGTAGAGATTGTGAGATCATCCACATGGTCCCTGGACAGCACCTTCTCCTAAGAAGACTGTAGGAACTAAGGTTTTTTTGCAGTTGGCTGATGCCATCTATTTATCTACTCACATTTGCATGGTTTTGAACTGCTAGATAGGTAGGAGCCAGGGACGTGCAGTCAGGGGAGGCAGAGCCTCACCACTGTCATCATGAAAAGAAAAAAAAATGTAAAAGGAAAAAGGCAAGAACTG